TATATATACACATTGGGGCACATTGGGCCCTGAGGGAAATTGGGTCCCATACATTTGTACTGGCTGTACTCCCTCCTAAGGGCGGCTCTGAATATGATAACACATAATGAGAGGAGCTGTCTAAATTTATTGGTACGATCTATTGCCTTGACTGCACACATGCCTGTGAACTAGAAAAACACTGGAAGAGTATACCGCCCCAATATACACATACCAAATAAGTGAGTCATGGCTTTACATCTTTCAACCAGAATAAGCAACAAGCAAATATTCACCAAAACATATTTAAACTTGAAAATGTAAGGAATGGGGAATTTGCGATTATAAAATTTGGGAGCACCGCTTTTCCGAAAGTATGTTTCGTGTAAGAAGGCGATGTCCGCCTGGAGCTGCTGGAGCTCATTAAAAGTCAATAAGCGCTTCTCGGGAGAATTTAAGCCTCTGACATTTAATTAAGGAGACTATTTGCAGAGTAACCATTATGTAATGTGGTATAGTTTTGAGCTTCCCCATTTAGACCCCTTGGCAGTTAGCAAACAACAAGATAATAAACTATGTACATAGGAACAAAAGTGGAATTAACTTTTGTAGGCATATAAAGAAATGATAAGTACACTCTTTAGGCATACAAATCGTTGGCATCTGTCCCTAGTTGGTGGTATTTGACCAATAGGGATCCTTTGCGTCACCGCGAGAGCATCCATGCCACATAGAGAATAGACAATAATAAACAGTCTTATTAAAGCATCAAAATGTTTCGCTTTAGAAACTGGGTTATATTTATACAGTTCGTTCAGTTCAGGTGGGAGGGGGGAGGAGAGGGAATAATGTACTGGTGTAGAGGGTAACAGAAAAGGTTGATAGGTATATATCACTATTCACCCCTGAGGGTTATAACCTGCATAATTGCAATGATAAGGTACTGGGCTGTTAATAGAGGGATTGGTAATAATCAATAAACTGTATCTTATAAGGTTGTTTATACCGGATTGAAGAAAATTCTTTGTACTCTCCTGACGTTCGGTGTGTGTCTTAAACTACGTGTTCCATAATGTTATGAGGTTGGGGACGAGTTGAGGTATTGAGGAATCAAATAAAATAAATTGAGATAACATAAATAGACTAGATAAATGTAGTTGAAGTTCCCTAGCGGATTTTTATGATCTCCGTCAGCCGACAGGAAACAAGACTTTAGGGGTGGCTGTTTGTATGAAAGGGGAGAAACGTTGGTGTGTTTGTATTTGTAGAGTATCTAAAGTCAGGAGTGTTACTTTAAGTGGGATGAAAATCCATATGCGTAGTAACTGGGCTATGAGGTCACCCAGCTAATTTAAACCTCGGTGTGTACCCCCGCTCTGTGTTATTTTGAGCGTTGTACTGGCGGGTCATGCGGATTCGGGTCTCTATAAGAAGATAACCTTCTGGGGTAAGTGTGGTGTCCTATTATTAATAAGTGTGTGATTGGTGAATGGAATAGGCTGTGGTCAGTGCTAGCCGCCTGTGTATTACATTACATCAAATAAAATGGAACCACCACAGGTTGGAAACATTTCAGGAACTTAGGCAATATATGACAGCTTTTGTTTTCTAAAAGGTAGCGAGATATGGACAGTGCAGACAATAGTATGTCAAAAAGAGGAAAGGTTCTGAAACCAATAAATGTAATATATATATATATATATACACACACACACACACACACATTTTTGTTGCTTTTTTTTGTGTGTGTGTGTGTTTTTTTTTAACCCTTGTGAGTAGGTAAAGAGTGGGGCCATAGAGGCCAGAAGAAAGCGAAATGGGAAGGGGAGAGAATAGAAAATGAAAGAGGTGTCAGTGTCTTATGGCTCGACGGTTTCTGGCTGTTAGAGCTGTAGTGAGGCAGCCACTAGTGAGTCCATCTGTAGTAACATCCCAATAGGGGAGGCAAAGATGTTGGGTTAATGCAGAGTCCCCATTAACAGTCCGTGGTACGGGAATCTTCTTTCTATGTGGATCCGGTTGTAGTGGTGTTTAGTCCCTTTGGCCACTTTCCCGGTTGGATAGGATGGGATCGAAGCTGCTTCTCCCGGTTCGTTTCTCCTCTTTGTGGGAACATGTTGCCAGCATGGTCTCTGCTGCATTAGTTGGGCTGGCGTCGGCAACATCGGGCATACCAGTCCTGAATGTGTACTGCCGGTAAGACCAATGCCTGCAGGAATACTGGAACATCGGTGATGTATTGTATGGAGTGCACCACTCCTCTGTGAGACATGCTTAAAGCAAAGGGGAAGCCCCATCTGTATCTTAGATTACGTGCCCTGAGGCTTGAGTGCTCGCCTAGCTTGAAGAGTCAGCCACGATAGATCAGGGTAAATAGAAATTGGCGCCTCATTGTAGAGTAGAATGTCCTCTTTGCATGTGTAGTAGTGAAGGTGGCAGACCACATATCTCAGTCTATCTGTCGGGGCACCTCGGGGTCAGATAGTTCTATGTGCTCTGTCTTATACAATCGGTGCATCGGAGGGTCTCTCCAGGATTAAGTTGAACAGTTCCTTCAGGGTGTTTGACAAATTTTCCTGCTTGTTCTTAGGGAGCCCTTTTATTCTTAGATTATTTTGGCAGCCCCTGTTGTTGAGGTCATCAATGGACATTTGCATTGCAGACAGGTGAGTTGTATGAGCTTCCACAATTTCTTGGATGTATGGAACTTGGGAGTAAGTGGTATCTCTGTCATCCTCGAATGTGGAAACCCTGTCCCCCATTTGACGTAAGTCTGTCCAGATCGTGACCAGTTTGGATTGAAAGGATACTTCTAATTTTCCTAGCATTTAAGCCAGGTCTTGTTTGGATGGTAAGGTTTTTAAGACTTCTCTTAATTCCATGTCGGCATAAATTGAAGAGTGTTTGGACTCTCCTGGGCTAAACTGTGCAGTGTTGGCGCCCGGTGATTGGGGCCTACCAATGATGCATGAGGATCTGATTGATCTCGAAAATATTTGGCAAGTTCTCCCGTTTTGCCAGCCGAGGTTTTTGCTGAGATGAAGTTGATCTTTTAGGGTGCCCCATTGTGTAATTTAAGCCAGATGTTCGTGGATTATAATCCTTGTTGTATGGAGCTCTGTTAAAATGCGTCCCCCTTTATGTTTCTATTATGTGTCTAACATATTGCAACATTTGAGATACTACTTAATCTCGAACACTTTTTAACCACTTCCAATATTAACCCCTTAGTGACCAGATCATATTTCAATTTTCTTACCGTTAAGGATCAGGTCTCTTTTTACATTTCTGCAGTGTTTGTGTTTAGCTGTAATTTTCCTCTTACTCATTTACTGTACCCAAACATATTATATACCATTTTTCTCACCATTAAATGGTCTTTTTAAAGATACCATTATTTTCATCATGTCATGTAATTTACTATAAAACCAATTATAAAATATGATGAAAAAATAAAACAAAAACACTTTTTCTAAATTTGACCCCCCAAATCTGTTACGCATTTACAACCGCCAAAAAACATCCATGCTAAATAGTTTCTAAATTTTGTCATGAGTTTAGAAATACCCAATCACTTGTTCTTAGATTTTTTTTGTAAAGTTATAGGGCAATAAGTACAAGTAGCACTTTGCTATTTCCAAATTATTATTATTTTTTTAAATTAACGCAAGTTACATTGTAACACTGATATCTGTCAGGAATCCCTGAATAACCTTTCACATGTATGTATATTTTAAAAGAAGACAACCTAAGGTATTAAACTTTGGTTATTTTGACTCTTTTCATGCAACCATTTTTACACCACTCTATGCCAAATTAAAAAAATATATTAAAAAGAATTGGTGATTTTTTTGACACTCATAGCAATTTAAGAATACATGTACGGAGAACTTTAAGGGTTACTGGCAAAGAACACCCCATTATGTGTTCAGCAACATCTACTGAGTACAGTGATACCCCCGTGTATAGGTGTGTTGGGTTCTCAGGGGACTAAAATACCTTATTTGGAGGGTGCGCATTGCAGTTTGCACCCATGTCCTATTTGGGCCATTTTTGAACTGGCCAATGTAATTTACCCCCATCAAACCACATATTTTTAAAAAGTATACACCCTAGGGTATTTCAGATGGTGGTATTTTAATACTTTCCATGCACTAATTCTACCACTAGTCTTTGTCAAACGTTTGGGTAGTAATTTTGTTGTGTTATTTTTCTCTCACATTGTACTTTAGGCATGGATTCTCAGTTCCTGTTATGTGTTACTGACAAAGAACACTCCAATATGTGTTCAGCACCATCTCCTGAGTACAACAGTGCCCCCAATGTACAGGTTTTATGTTTTTTTGCAAACTTACAGGGGTCAAATGTAGGGCTTTCCCCTTTTCTATGTTTGCACATTGAAATTTGCCAGATTGGTTTGCTGGGCCTATTTTGCCTTTGAGACCATAATGGGGGTATGTCCAGTCTTTTGTAGTAGCCACTTAGCCACAAACGCTTACCAAAGTTAGCATTCATATTTATTTTTTGCATTTTATTACCCAAAAAATGCACTTTTACTGGTGATTTCATTGTTGTGATAAGTTTTACTGTTTTAAACACTCATATTTGTGTTCAGCGAAGTCTCCAGAGTATAACAAACCCCCCCATGTACAGGTTTTATGGTGTTTTGGAAAGTTACAGGGTCAATATAGGGCTTGCCAGATTGGTTTGCTGGGTCTGTGAGATCATATGGTAGCCTAGGAATGTGAAATAATCCCATCATGGAATACCATTTTCAAATGTAGAAAACCCAGGGTATTCAAAATTAGTCACAAACGCAGGCCAAAGTTAGCTTTTTATTTGTTTTTTTTAAATTGTGTTTTTTTCCTCCAATTTATATTATATATATATTATATATATATATATATAATTATATATATATATATATATATAATACGTGTGTGTGTATATAGATATATATATCTAAATACACACACACACACAAATAATGTGTGTTTGTGTGTGTGTGTGTGTGTATATATCTATGTATTTATGTATGTATGTATGTGTGTGTATATAGATATATATATCTAAATACACACACACACACACACACATATACACACACACACACACACAAATAATGTGTGTTTGTGTGTGTGTGTATATATATCTATGTATTTATGTATGTATGTATGTATGTATGTGTATATACACACATACATACACACGGTCCAGGTAAGTCCAGGGCTCCTATTTGCCGCTGACGTACTAGGTAGGTCCACGATCCTTTACAACCATTTTTTGTCGGACGTACCTAGTACGTCCAAGGTCATTAAGGGGATATACATAGATAAATATATATATATATTTCATTCTAAGTGTATTTTTATATAAATATATATATTAATATAAAAATAAAGTTAGAATAAAATTACATATATATATATATAATTTTATTAAAACTATTATTACAGTTTATTTAATTAATTATTTATATTTTATAATATATATATATATATATATATATATATACATACAATATATACAGTTATTATTTATATTATATATATATACATGTGTAATTTTGCTCTAAGTGTATTTTTATATTAATATATGTATATATTAATGCAGCACTGTGGACACCTATTGTGGCCATGTGACTGCTCTTTTAGAGTGGTCACATGGCCCCTAGGGGTCCTAAATTGAAGAGACAGTCCCCCTCAGAAGAAGACCGATCGCCGGCGGGGTAACAGTGGCGATCGATAAGTACATGTAGAGGGAGAGGTAGAGTAAAGGTTAATTTAAGAAATTTTTACATTTTATTTTTTATTTTAACTGAGTGTCCCGACCCCCGAAGGCTTCCGATGCTCTTGTCTACACTCCCTGGCGCCAGGTGCAGCAACCCGAAAGTGATAGCTCCGGGGGGAGTGATCACTCTGGTGCCCAGCTATGTGGTTGGGTATTCCACGAAGCCTTGATATCGAGGTATCGTGTAATACCCATAGAGCGGCTGGAAACGATCACGATTGAGGTACGTCCGCGGTCCTTAAGGACTGTTTCTTTTTCCGGACATACCTCATACGTCCGCAGTCCTTAAGGGTTTAAAGGGACACTGTAGGCACCCAGACCACTTCAGCTTATTAGAGTGGTCTGGGTGCAAACTCCCATCACCCTAACCCTGTGCATTTAATTATTGCACTTTTTACGGACTTTAACTCTTCCTCTCGGGGCTGTCTACCAGACACTACAAATCTCCAATTTCAAATAAATGTTATGCTACTTTCTATCAATGAAAAAGATCAACAGTGAACAGGTTGTGGGAGAGCACTTCTGAAACATGTCATGTAACCTAGTACTTTAATAACTCAAAATCAAGTAGATGGATCAACTCGCCAAACTGTGTGTTATTGCAGTCTAAAACATCTGTCTCCGAGAAATCTTTTCAATTCAGCAGTGTCCAAGTTGTATTAGAGTACACCACAACGTACATTTTAACAAATATGCCATTGTATCAATCTACCTCTTTGCAATATATTTGCTAAACCATTATGTTATGACACATAATGTAACATTCTAATACATAGCAAAGCAAACAAACAACGTAGTAATTTGTCAGTATAAGCAGACACATTACATAACTGACAAGCATTAAGAAATGCTACAATGCTCTTTCTCACGGGAAAGAAATTGATAAACAGTCATGAGTTTCCAAAAAAGGCAGAAGCACACAGCTGTGGTTATGGTCAAACAATGTAGCGTGAATAATGATTGCATAAATTGTAACTCCTGTGGTTATAGATTTAAAATGTTGTCAGGAGAGAATGCGCACATCATGAGATCACGGTGTCATGTTCTGGAGAACATTAGAGACAATTGGAAAATTAATGATAATCCAAATATTTTGCCTTCTGCTTATCTGAAATACAAAACACTATCAGGGTTATTCACTAAAATGGGTATTATGTAGAAACAACACAGTAATTACAAGATTACAACAAAAAACAAAACAACGTAATTTACAAAGAAACGTATATACTAAATCCTAAGTGATTTAAAAATATCCCAATGTAACACAAAGAAAATATATTTGTATACATCCCTAAATATAAAGCAGGTCAAAAAAGTGTTTTTTGTGATCTTCTATAAATATAGGCACCTTATTTAGGAATTTTTTAAAAGTATATTGAGCACCATATATGAATGTATTATTTATTACTCAGTTACGTCTTCTTTACACCAATTATCCCATTTGATTTGCACTACATGGTGCATTTTATTATATTTTATTTTACATATATTTTGCATTGCTTGGAGAATTCTGGACACCAATTAGAAGTATTTTTTTTAAAGCAAACCCCCTATTGTTTTCTGTTATAACTATAACCATGTTCATGTAAGCGTGAAATATTTTTTTCTACTCACGAGTCGTTTGACAAATATTTTATGATAGAACTAAATCTGTAGCACTTTTTTGTAATTATAACAGTTTCATTTTATTGCCTGCTTCTTTATATTTTCACAAATACATTTACCAGAGTTCCTGACTCAGCATTGCACGGTCTAGTGATTACCAACAGCTGCATTTAGGACTTAAATTATTATCTTCAGTGAATTAGATATTTTCTATACAATTGCTATAATATTTAGTACTACCAAATGTAGTTATTTGAGCTGTAGAACTGACAAACCACTATATATATTTTTTTCTTAACTGTGCTCCATGAAGATCTGGTCTGGTCACTGGTTAAATCCATCTTGTGGCAACTTTTCAGAAGCCTGTGAAAGCTGCTTTTAACTTTTTGCAAGCATGCAATCCTTTTCTTATCAGCTAAAGGGACACTATAGTCACAAAAACATATTTAGCTTAATGCCCCTGCAGTCTCACTGCTCAACTCTCTGCCATTTAGGAGTTAAATCACTTTGTAAATGCAGTCCTAGTCACATCTCCATGCATGTGACTTGCACAGACTTTCTAAACACTTCCTTTATTGCAAATGCTGTTTAATTTAGAATTGCTTATCTCCTGCTCTGCTAATAGCTCGCTCAACCATGCAGGAGACTTCTGTATGTGATTAAAGTTCAATTTACAGAACAAGACAATAAAAACTTTTAAATTAAGTTAATATCTGATTGAAAATGAAACCATTTTGTTTTCATGCAGGCTGTGTCAACCAAAGGCAGGTGAGGTGTGGATAGAGCCACATAAATAGGAGCAAAAGTGATCTAACTTCTAAATGGCAGAGAATTGAGAAGTGAAACTATAGAGGAATGATCTGTATACACAAATTGCTTAATTAAGCTAAAGTTGTTTTGGTGACTAAAGTGAATGAACAAAAGTAACTTTAGTTAATTTACTAATTTCGGATTTTAGCCTAGCTGGATAAATTGGTTGCTAGTCTACTAGGTTATAAGCAGGCCCGGACTGAGAAAAAATTCAGCCCAGACAGAGGTCAAGATAGAGGGGGCAGGGCCAGAGAGGTGGTGTTTTGTCATCACCAATGATAAACACACCCACTCTCAAAGTGCCTCTTCCAGGGCAGCCCGTGCAAAAAAAAGGCCCTGTATTTGTTCTGTCTCTGGTGTCTCCATAAGTTGGACACCAGAGGACAAAATGGCAAGGAAAGTGTATTGTGCATGTGTTAGGAGGCTGCTTGTGGGATTGCGTGTGTGTAGAGAGATGTGATTGTGGTGTGGTGTTGTGTAAATTGGTCGGTTTCAATTGTGATGTGTTTGTGGTGTAATATCTGTGTCTAGGGACTGAAGAGAGTGAGAGAGTGTGTGTGTATAGGAGGTGTAACAAGTGTGTGCATAGGGACTATATATGTGTGTGTGTGTAGGCCATGTAGTATGTGTATGAATTGTAGAGAGTGTGTGTTTAGGGAATGTAGTGTGCGTGTTTGAGTGTAGAGCATAGGGGATCCAGAGTGTTTACAAGGGATGTAGTGTTTGTAAGTGGTGTAGTGTGTATAAGGCATGTTATGTGTGTGTGAGGGATGTAGTGTGTGTGTGTGAGGGGTGCACTGTGTGTGGATAAGGGATCTTTTGCATGTGTAGAGGATCCAGAGTGTGTATAGGGGATCTAGTGTGTGTATAGAGGATCCAGAGAGTGCATAGAGGATCCAGAATGTTTACAAGGAATGTGGTGTGTGTAAGTGGTGAAGAATGTATAAGGCATAATGTGTGTGTGTGTGAATTGTGCAGTGTGTGTGTGATGGGTACTGTGTGTGTGGTGAGCACTGTGTGAAGGGTGCACTACTGTGTGTGTGGTGCAATGTGTGTGTGAGTGTGTGTGTGTGATGGGTGCAGTGTGTGCTTATGATGGGTGCAGTGTGTGTGAAGAATGCACTGTATTTGTGTGTGGTGCAGTGCATGTGTGTGAGGGGTGCAGTGTGTGATGGGTGTAGTGTGTGTGGTGTACACTGTGTAAGGGGTGTAGTGTGTGTGTGAAGGATGCACTGTATTTGTGTGTGGTGCAATGTGTGTGTGTGAGAGAGAGAGGGGTGCAGTGTGTGTGTGAAGGGTGCACTGTGTGTGGTGTAGTGTGTTTGTGAAGGGTGCACTGTGTGTGTCTGTGGTGCAGTGTGTGTATGTGTGGTGCAGCATGTGTGTGAAGGGTGCACTGTGTGTGTCTGTGGTGAAGTGCATTGTGTGTAAGTGAGGGTGGAGATATAGGTATATTATTTTTTTTTTTATAAATAAACCATGTATTTAAAATGAACATAAGTAGCCATGTTCATTTTAAATACATCCTTTTTTGGTTATATTCCCCCCTCCCTTCTTACCTTCCGACCTCAGAAGAGGAAGGACCTGGTGGAGCTGCTAGATATAGCTACCAGGTCCTCTCTCTCCTCCCTCCTACCTCCTGGCTCCCCAACAAAGTGCCTGTGGGACAGGGAGGGAGATCTTTGATCTCCCCACCGGCCCATGAGGGCACACAGCAGGGCCGGCGCTCTGATAGCACTGGCCCTGCAGGGGAGATCCTGTGATCTCCCCTGCTGGCCTTGGTCCATGGCCATCGCGGCCCAATGGGCATTTGCCCAATGGCCAGTCCGACCTGGTTATAAGAGTACTGGGTAAACACTAATTCAGGACATGACTGATACCCATTCCAGTGGAATCCTGTTTTAGG